GGGTGTTAGTGCTGTCTATGGACTGGTCTGAGGCCAAACCATCACAGCTAAGGCTTCAGTCTGAGCCTCACAGTAACGCCGCCATGCAAACATCTGCACGGACGAGAATGACAACTCGTTAGATAAGAAGCTCATTTTCATCTTGTTTGCATATATATGAACTCACAGCTTCCTGCAGCCGACACAGCCATCGATAACGAGCAACGTTAACGTGACCGACAGAGAAAAGGAACTGCTCAGGAACAAACCCCACACAGCCGAATAACCCAAACTGACTCATCCACACAAGTTGGAGCAGGTCGGGCTGACAGCTTCACATTACTGTTAATAACCTGCAGTTGTGTGTGTGTTACTTTCAGTCTTGCCTCGAGTTCATACTTGAACACCTCTGCATGACTTCACGCATCTACCACAAACCGAGGTCAAACGCTAGCGGCTGTTAGATTCAGCGTCACACCTGAGGAGCAGCTCTGTCATCACCTGGATGGTTACCACCTCCTTCCCATCCTCCCTCTGCTCCACTCTGCGTGTGAGGAGGTGCACCCACAGCAAGGCTAAGAGCAGCGAAAGGAGAAACTAACGTGAAGTCTCTCATACTGCGCTCCAATCACACCATAAATACCTAAATACGTGTCTAACTTCATGTGACCCTTAAAGTGCTGCAGATGTGCACCTTTTTGACTGCATAACGCCCGAACGTACAGGGTGAGGGTTGGCGTGTACCTCTGAGCGGGACAGGCCCCAGACGGCACTCCGTGCTCGGGCCCACCCCAAAAAGTCTTAACACCTTAACAGATCAGCATTTTCCTTCCTTTTGATGTTGGATGGAATAACCATAAGATTATAGGCTTTGGAGACCGTGCTGACCCGATTCTCTGTGGGTGGAGTGGACGGGGTCCAGGGTGGAGCTCCATCACAGAGGCCAGGACAGCAGAGCAATCCTGCTGCATCCTCCAGCCCGGCTCCATCAATCATGAATGAGGACAGAATCATTACACATGCCGAGCGAGGCAGACGGCCCGACTGATTCGATTACCATCGGTAACTAAACCAAAAGGCCAGAACACACATGCACGCGCACACACACAGGGTTCAACAGGAAGCTGCAGATTGGGCTGCTGTGATGAACTACAGCCATCAGCAGCAAGCTGCTCAGCCTGAAGTAATTACATAATTCAATCGAGCTGATTCAGGGCTGCAAACAACACGTGGAAACATCCCAAAGAAAATTCCCAGAATCCAAGTAGGAGCTGTTCTCTGTGACCATTCCCAACCCAAACAGCAACCAGGTTGTCATCAGAGAAAACCAACAGTGAGGCTGAGTGCTCAGGGCAGCTTATCAGAAGGATAAGGTTCTGGACTTTCAAAAACGAACTGATAAACTCTTAGAGTGGATCTGGAAATTCATCCAGATATTCCTGGAAGAGTTGTTGTGTTGGTGCTCACAGATAAACAATCAAAGGTGATTCTGAGCAGGTAAATCCAATCAGAGTCGGCCGTATCGGCTTCCTGAGCGGCGGCACCGGCATTAAGGAGGTCTGTGTAATGACCAGTGGCCCTCCTAAGCTTCTCAAACCCGTTGAGCATATCAAACATGACCCCACCTGCTGCTTCACCCGACACCACAACGACTCAGAGAGAAAGCCGTTTTATTCTCCAGCAACCACCAAACTGGGCTCCAGCGATGGCCCATCTGTGCAGTGCTCCTGATCAATCAGCATACATTAGCCGGCCTAACAGTCGAGTCTAAAACACGCTAAAAACGCTCAAATTCATTGATGCTTGGAGCAGCAGGAAGTTATTTTAGGCTTCAGTGATTCAACAGGAACCAGAGTTCACAACCCAACGCCGCCCATTTGGAGACACAACTCCTAATAGCTTCATTACTTCCTGTTTCATCATGAAGAAATGATAACGACATTGAACTTAATAATTTTATTCATCTACTGTGTAATAAGCAGGTCTTATAAAACAGTAGATGTTGGTGAGGAGCAGTGTCTCTCAGACTCTTGAGCCTTCTGCAGATGAGAAGTTCTGTTTAAATCTAACCAGATAATTTCATTGATGGCTAAAGTGGGCAATACCAACTTTTTAAGGTGCCATCAAAAACTCCAAAAATAAAACAAAAGCAGAAGTAAAGAAAGACACTATCCACCACCATTTTAATATTATTAATATTGTTTCCTGATTGATGATAATAATAATAACCATGTGGTTATACACTGTGAAATTGCCACAATCATAGCATAACATAACTAACTAAATAATTTGTGAAATTAAATGGCAGAACATTTCAAATATAAACTAAAACACTAATGATACAATAAAAAACTAAAATATAAATGAAAAAAATCCAAAATAAAGATGAACTGAATTATAAAACGTAAAAAATAAAATAAAAATATTTTCATTAAATTATAATAAATTAAATTCAATTGATAGGTCTTTAAATGTGGGGTGTGTGTGCAGGGGTTCGGAGAGCCTGTGATGCTGAGCAGGAGGTTGCCTCCGGGCTCGGATGGGCTCGTCTCGGGGGTATTTGTTCTGCAGAGCGGTGAAGCACCAGCTGCTGCCTCTCTGAGAGCTCTGAACACCGCAGAGAAAAACCGCAGCAGCAGAACGTGGCTCAGTCCTCCACACAAACCTCAATTTCAAACTCATTTTCCATAAACACACACAGCGGGGCAGATTCGGGGGCGGGGGGTTGACGAGGCCAGTTTATTCACCCCTGAACCATTACGAGGCCAGCTGCCTGCCGCACACGGGGTGGTGTATACCCGCGGACAGGATCCAGGTATCCGCGGCGTCGTGCGGACTTTCCGCGTGAACCTAAGCATCGAGCGTGGCTTGACGGCGGGCTGTCACACCGCACACCTACATCTGGAGCTCAGGGCTGCTAAGCTAAAAGGCTAAGTTGTTAGCTGCCGCGGCATCGATTAGCGGGCTGATTGATTGGCCGGACTGCCCGTTTCCCCCTGCCTGGTGGAAGAGGCGTTAAAGCGGGCAGCTCGGGGAGAAATCACCGCCAACTGCGGCTCTGACATCCAGCTGCTCACATTTAGCGAAGCCATTAGCCCCGACACCCGTCAACTTCCTGCCCCAGGAACGCGCTCTAAAGCCGGACAATCACGTACCTTTGACGGGCCGCTCCGTGGTGGAGAGTTTGCTCTGGTCTTTGGCCGACATGCTCCCTCCCTGCGGGCTGGGGGCCGGAAAACAGGAGAAATTCCGAACTAAACTGGACCGATTCTTCCTGACGAGCTAGCAGGCTAGCTGGAGCGAGCTAGCCGCGCTAGCTGGTGGTGGGGCTGGGAGCGGCGGCGGCAGCGCGTCCCTCCGCGTACAGGGCAAGCGAACCGAGTCGAGCTGGAGTCAGACCTGACCAGGGTAGGGAAGAGGGAGCGAGGGCGTCCGTTTCACCGACAAACCGGAGCCTCTCCGCTCTGCCCTACTCCTCTCTGCTGTGCGGTGATGCCGACCCGCGGTCCAGGCAGGAAGCGGCCCGGGCAGCAGCGCCGATCTCTGGCTTCAGCAGCACCGAGCGGCGCGGCGGATCATGTCTCGGCTTTATCCCGTTATTCTCGGACAAGGTGCATCTGTTCCAGGCCGCTGCGCTTCAGTTTTTTCCTGTCGTGATCCGATGTGTCGCCCAGACCCTCTGTCGGATTACAATAATCCGCCGCAAGCGGATTTCCTACAACATGGCTCAGCGCGGGCGGGGGGTTGTGGGTAATGTAGTATTAAAGCGGTATGAATGCGCCTCCTTCAGAGCCCACTCAGCGCGTGCACCGCACTGTCAATGGAAAATAACTGCATAAATAAAAACTCTGCTGTCTACGGTGTGAATAGATAAATAAAATAAAAATACACAATGTACGGAAAATAATAATAATCTCTAATAAAAGTACGGATAAAAAATTACAGATACATTAATAAAAAAAATACACCCTACGGAAAAATTTAAGAAATAAAATTAAATAAGAAACACACTATGGAAAATAAAAAAGTTTGAGTAAAAAATAATATTAAATAAACACTGTCTGTGGGGAAAAATAAATTAAAATGCAATGTCTTTGGGATAAAATTAAAAATAAACAAATGAAAAAAGGGGGAAAATTCATTAAAATAAGCGTAATATAAAATAAGGAGCCCGAGCCGAAAAGTTTCTCTGACACTGTCTTGGAAAAATGTTTAATTACATACACTGTTTACGAAGAAAAATATTATCCTTAAAAACCACAGTTTCATTGTGACAAAAGTAATATTAGTCTTTAACAAACAGGGAACTCTAAAGAATGGTTTCTTGGTGTTTATTCTAAACTTCGTTCTCAACGTTTAAAGTTTTCATTCTCATTTCAATAAAATAAAGCGAAAAACAAGGAAGTGTCTGATTTAAACGCACTCACAGTAATACTTAAAAGTGCTGCGCATTACATGTTGTTACACGCTGAATATGATAGCACACTCAGCAGATCTGAAATACGTCACAAAGAGCCACGTGTGCTTCACTGTCACCTGTTGTTGGATAAAAACATTTAAAATTGTTGGATTTTTTTTTTTTTAAATTAAGTTCGGCACCTGCTCTGCAGCACGGTCTTATTTTCCTCACGATGACGATGAAGAGGCCACCTGGTTTCTGACGTCACGTGCTGTATTTGTTGGATGGATTTTGCGCAGCACAGAGCTGAAGCTAAACACCACAGCGCCTCCGTGTGGTCACTGTAGGTAATGCCAGCAGTGACCACACGGCGTCCCTTAATGAGCTGAAGGTCTCAGGGCAGGACTTCTCAGGTGATCCTGAGCTTCACACTCACACTGAGAGCGTCCAGCACCGGTTCACTGGTTTTAAAAAACTGAGTTCTGAATGCTGTGATAAATAAAACATGTATTATTGAATTATTACACAGAGCTGTGAATAGCTCTCAGTCTGTCCAGGGCCGGAAGTCACTCAGTTTCATCACAGAGTTTGATGAGATTTTTCACCTGAAACTCAAAATAAAATCATATAAAATATCATTGAACTAATGAAATAAAATTGGGGCTCAAGAGTTGGGCGTTCGTCTTGTAATCAGAAGGTTGCCGGTTCGAGCCCCAGCTCCGACAGTCTCAGTCATTGTGTCCTTGGGCAAAACACTTCAGACGTTGCCTACTGGTGGTGGTCAGAGGTCAGAGGGCCCGGTGGCGCCAGTGTCCGGCAGCCTCGCCTCTGTCAGTGCGCCCCAGGGCAGCTGTGGCTACAATGTAGCTTCTCTTCACCCGTGTATGAATGGGTGGATGACTGATTGTAGTGTAAAGCGCTTTGGGGTCCATAGAGACTAAGTAAAGCGCTATATAAATACAGGCCATTTATCATAAAAAGAGAGACGGGTGTGGCCTCGGCCTTCCTGCGTCTGATGTTTGACTCAAAATAGAAACACTTGTTGGGCCTCCTGAGAACCGAGCTTTCACCAAGCGCTTTCCATGTAAGGGGAACTTTGCAGGACCAAAGGCTCCCACCTCAACCCCCACAGGGCTGGTCAGTTCAGATTATCACTGTGTGGCATCTGCATCCCGGACAGCTGCTGTATATAAAGCCTCTGACCCCAAATCATCAGACTCACTGAGAGCAGCATCAGAGTTGATGAGCAGAGATGGTAGGTGTTCTCTCACAGCCCATGGTTATGCTTTTTATACAAATCACAATTTGAAATGTTACCAATGAAGCTAAACGCTCAGAGACCTAACAGAGCGAACCGGATTACTCTGTGTAATACAGTTAATACACTGTATTCTAGATGGTGAACAGTAGTACAATAAAGTTACACTACTCTACACCATCTACAATACAGCACAGAATTATACTACTGTGTATCTACTATAATATAGTTATATTTAAATATGATCTACTAATACATTTATAAACTTCTGTACACCGTCTAGAATACAGTACAGAGTCCTGCTGGTGGCCATCGCTCTGAGGTGTTTCACCCTGCAAATACACTCTTATTTTTATTTCAGCAGTCGCTGAAACAGGTCGGTGCCTGCAGCGTGCATCAAAATGTTCGACCCCGACGACAAAGGCTTCATCCACAAAGAGTTCTCACTCCAACGTCTCCTTATTCAGGCCGTGATAGAAAGTGAAAACACTGAGCGAATGAAAGTGTAAAAATGAAAAGGGTTCGCTTTGGAAATGTTTAGTGACAGGCGTGACATCGATACCTGTGTGTCTGTAGATGAAGCAGATGTTTCAGTCATCAAACATAAACGCAACCAGAAACCTGGACTACAAATCCTTGTGTTACGTCGTCACTCACGGCGAGGAGCAGGACAAATGAAAAAGGAAATGTGATGTTTGTCTTTATCTTGCATCAAATAAAAGTTTAAACATTAAACTCTGAATCTAGTGTCCTTTAATAAGCTGAAGGTCTCAGAGCAGGGCCTCTCAGGCGTCCTGAGCTTCACACTCACACTGAGAGCGTCGGGCACTGGTTCATTAGTTTTATTAGAGTCCAATTTAAAATCAGCAGAGAACAGAAAGATTTCATGAAATAAATATTTAATTAGCAGAGTTCACACTAAAGTTTATAGATATATTATTATATATATATTACACATTTATATTTTCAGTGTAAAATATCTGTTATAAAGATGTATACATCTGGTTAAAGTTTCAAAACCTTTTTCTAGTTTTACTGAAGTTTTTATGAACAGACTGGATAAAGATGATGGAGGACGCTACTGCAGTTCCCAGTCTGACCTGATGGTGACAGCACTGTCTCCCCGCTGCTTAAACTCTGACACATTTGCTGTCATGATAACGTGAAGCTGCAGCATCAGGAGGACGTGCTCCAGCCTGCTGACGACGATGAGGGCGAAGAGGCGGCGTCAGCATTGTGCTTTTTGATTAATTAGATCATTAGACGTCCTCACTGATGACACGCTGAAACACGGTCGTATCAAAAATATTTTTGGTTTCTGAAAATTGTTATAAAAAAAACATTTAAGTATCTTATTCCATATTGTTCCATATCCATCATCCTCATCAACCTTGAAGTTCACATTATTAGGGGCGTGGCCTCTGTGACTGACGAGTGGGTGGAGACATAGATGGAGATGTTTGGTCAGGAGTGAGAATCAATAAACTCATTATCAGAAAGTGGCAGTATTGTCTAAAAATCTGACACTGAGGCGTCCACGGTGTGAGGAAACAGCACCTCTCCGTGTGATGTCATCAGCTGCACGCCGGAGCTTGGGCGTCTGGGAGGACGAAGAAGGCAAGCGAGTAGGCAGGAAGCTGCAGGTGGCGAGCCGGCAGGAGAAGTTTTCCTTTGAGTTCAGGCAGCGTTTTATCGTCCACCATCATCAACACCTCGCCGTTCAGCTTCACTGACCTGCAGAAACAGGAAATGAGCTCATCAAGCTAACCGCCACACAACTAGTCAAACACAAAGATTACTGAGATATTAATCTTTGCCCATTTCTGCATAACTCATCCCGTTTATGATCCTCGGGTGTTAGGGTTGTGTGCGCCCCCTTGTGGTCGGACCGCAGCAGTGCGGGGTGTCATCGGCAGAGTTACCCTTCTCCGGGTTTATGCCTGTATCATTTTCCACCACAGCTTATGAGTCAGATCATGACACCGTAAGAGGAGGATTTAGGATGGGGCTAGTTTGAGATTGGTCGGTTAAATCAGGTAAAGCTTTTGATTTTTATGTAGTTGTTCTCAGAAAGCCTCCAGCAGCTGAGGTGCTGTGGAGCGGTGGACGGGAGTCAGACTGTCGATTCATGCTGACCAGTTTTGACTCACGGCGGTGACCTTTGAACTCTTTTGAAGCACGCCGCTGAGCCCAAACTATGAGGCCATTGTTCGTCCTCCGTCAGCACAGCTGAGATAAAAGCCTGAGAGAGAGTTACACATCAACGGCATCGGTCCTCGACCTGCTGCTGTCTGCATCAGCTGATTCGCTCTCAGGTGGCATTAAATCACCATGACAACAGCTTTCTGTCCGGCACGCTGAAGCAGAGCAAAGCCACAGATCAAAAGCATCAAAAGGTCAACCTCAGCAGCTCTCATAGGACTCGATAAACACCTGAATCTGAGCGTCACAAGACCGAAGCCAGCGTCTGATTCACTGTCGCCCCTGTTTTTGCTTTCATGAGTAAAATAACATTTTAAAGGATTTAAAAAGTAGCTTTCAGGAAGTGTTGAGGCTCACTTCTGTAGAGAAATGTGAGCTGGTCTTCAGGTTTCTACACCAACCAGCCATCACAGCTGAAACACAGACGGCGTCCCTGCAGATGGTAAAAACTGCAGGTTTCACTGGATGCTGAGGCGATATGATCCGCTGATGCTTCCTCAGCATCAAAACATTTGCTGGATTCTTCTTCATTTTTAAGCTTAGACCGTTTCACCGTCACTGAGTTCAGGAGATCCAGATGTTTCAGAGACTCAGATTCATAAGAACAAAAACAGAAAATGTAAATTTAAAAAGAGAAAAGACATCAGCTCCATGCTTTTATTTTCTGACTCCAGCACAGCAGCTCTGCATGATTCAGAGCTCAGCCCTTGTCTGAAACAAGGCTGGCTTTACGCCACTTTGGCTCTCCCTCTCACACAGTAGCCGACGGGGCTTCAGTCCCTGAGATGACATCATTCAGATCAAAGAGTAGAAAATACTGTAATAATGAGTGTTCGGCCTGCGGGTATCACTACACACACGGAGCTTATTATTCGTAACTTTATCGTGAACC